TTACTAGATAGTAAGGTCTCTGAGAGCGGAGATTTGTTTAATACCCCAGCACTTAACACAGAACGTTATTAGCTGGGTTCAATAAAAATGCATTGACAATAATTTGAATTTTTATTTTATACTCCTATAGGACTCAGAAATGATATCCTGATACTTAATAGGCAGTGGTTACTCAAAGAAAATCTGTACCAAAATCCAAAGGGTTTTAACTTAATTCCTTTTCTATAGGGAGGTATATCACACAAAGAGAATGCAGCATGTTATCTGTGTAAAATGGACTTCCGACAGCAAGTATATTATGTGTGGATCTGATGAAATGAACATTCGCCTGTGGAAAGCTAATGCTTCTGAAAAATTGGGTGTGGTAAGAGAATTCATTTTCTTTCATTGTCATAAAGCTGATTTCTAATTTTATTAGATATTACATTGTGAAAATTTACTTTTTGGTATTTTTGGGTATTTTGATCAAATTGACATAGCTGTGATAAAAAAAATAAGTTAGCAATAAATGGACAAGGTTGTATTGATAATTGTTTCATTCTGATCTATTGGAGACACTGTACATTCAAATTGACATTTAAGACCTTCAGAATACCTTTATTAATTCAGATGTTTGATAATATGGAGTCTTATTGGTATTTTGTGTTTTGCTTGAGGTAGGGACAGAAGATGCAGGAACTAGAAGCTCAGAACTTAAGAGCTTGTATCTCTTTTGTTAGAGAAATAGTCATCCAGCAACTCAAAGGCTGCAAGTCCCTGGGAGATCTTTTAATATCAAAGACACAATGGAATGTTTAATAAATACAGAAAGCTTCAGACTTTAAAAAAGATTCCATGAAAAAATAGCAGGTGTTATCACTGGCTAGTTACCTCCAGGATAGGGGATTATGGTTGATTTTGTTTTGTTCTTGATGTTTTTCTAAATGTCCCATATTTTCTATAAGAAACACACAAAGTGTTTATATTAGAAATAAATACTAAGTTTAAGAAGTAAAGAGTAAGTGTGAATTATTTCCTACTTAGCCCTGATAGGAAAATCAGAGGCAATTCTGTTTTAAGTTTAATGATTGATAAGTATTGCATTGTGCCTAGGTCCATCATTAAATGTTCCTCTAAATTATATCATCCTTAACATTTGTTTTTTTTGTTTGTTTGTTTGTTTTTTTGTTTTGTTTTTTGAGACGGAGTCTCGCTCTGCCACCCAGGCTGGAGTGCAGTGGCCGGATCTCAGCTCACTGCAAGCTCCGCCTCCCGGGTTCACGCCATTCTCCTGCCTCAGCCTCCCGAGTAGCTGGGACTACAGGCGCCCGCCACCTTGCCCGGCTAGTATTTTGTATTTTTTAGTAGAGACGGGGTTTCACCGTGTCAGCCAGGATGGAACATTTGTTAAACAAAGGCTAGTTCTTATGGAATTGGATACTTATTTTTACTTTCCTGTTTCACTATGTTTAACTCACCTCCCTACCCACCCCCAAAATTTTCAGTGAGTGATTTAGGTGCTTTTCTATGTTATTGATGCCTAGGGAAGGTTCAACTCAGTGATCCACACGGCCCTACTCCTTCAGCACTGCTGCTTTCTACTGGGTGGCATCTATTCTACATGGCGAGTGTGTTGTCTAAAAGGAAATTCAGTGCTTGCAGAACTAGTGTTACTAATATAACCTTGTAAAGTGTAGAATTACATTGGCAATTTTGGTTGCATATCATAAAAGTTTAGGTTTGGGGGAAAAGGGTGCTTTCTAGTTTCTTTATACTGAAGCAAAACAACACACTGTTCATTAAGATACTAAAATGTGTATTTTCAGCTTACATCACGAGAAAAAGCAGCCAAAGATTATAACCAGAAATTGAAGGAAAAATTTCAGCATTATCCTCATATAAAACGTATAGCTCGTCATCGACATCTACCAAAATCTATCTACAGCCAGATTCAGGAACAGCGCATCATGAAAGAAGCTCGTCGACGAAAGTATGTTTTGAGGCATTTGACTCTATCTATTACCCTTTTCTGACTTCTGCTCTAATCTCACCGAAAACAAACAACTGCCATTCAAGGGAGTAGTTTATGTGCTGTTATTTAATGGTACATTAGTGATGTGTTTGAAGACTTCTACAGAAGGCCCTTTTTTTTTTTGAGACGGAGTCTCACTCTGGAGTGCAGTGGCACAATCTAAGTTCACTGCAAGCTCCGCCTCCCGGGTTCATGCCATTCTCCTGTCTCAGCCTCCTGAGTAGCTGGGACTACAGGCACCCGCCACGATGCCCTGTTAATTTTTTGTATTTTTAGTAGAGACGAGGTTTCACCATGTTAGCCAAAATGGTCTCGATCTCCTGACCTCGTGATCGCCCACCTCAGCCTCCCAAAGTGCTGGGATTACAGGTGTGAGCCACCACGCCCGGCCCAGAAGGCCATTTCTTTTTCCTTTTCCCAATAAAGGGAAGCAATGACTATCTGAGAATGGGAGAATTTCCATTACCTGTTTTTGAGAATATGTTTAAAGGACAAACAAGGAAAATGAAATACCAAAATAAGAAAACACTTGCTCATATTAAAAAATTATTGTAAATAATGTTTTAAAAATAATTTCTGATGTAGCTGGAATTCAGAGATTTTGTGTACTTCCAAGTTAAAGAATTAATCTATAGTAGAGCTCTTAAGTAAAAGTTTTCTAATATACTTTATTATAACATGACATCTATCATTTTGGATATAGAGCAGAGCTACTGCCACTACCACCATTTCCCCTGTGAAATATTCTTTTCTTTGAAATATTTAAAGTCAGGCATGAAATTCTAAGAGGTCTTTATTTTTCATTTAGAATATACAAATGGCTATTATTTCTCTGTCTTTGGGTAGATGTTGCGGTAGAATCACTTTTAGAAATTGTATTAACTGTGGCAGGTTTTTAGACTTAGTAAAGGACCCTGTTAGGTAAATAGGATAAGAAGCAATTAAATAAGTAAAGTTGATTTCTTAGTACTAAATTCCTTTCACCTATTGTCGTTGTGAAATTATTTTTTTAAATAGATGTTTTTCTAGTGAAAGAAAATGCTTTGATTTTTCTGAGAAAGTTTTAAGATGAATTCTCATAAACTTGCTTATATTTTATATATTTTATTTCTAGGGAAGTGAATCGTATTAAACACAGCAAGCCTGGATCTGTGCCAATTGTGTCAGAGAAGAAGAAACATATAGTGGCAGTTGTAAAATAATTGGTATTCCTAACAATCCTGATGTATAATTATTTGTTACTTTTGATTTGAGAACTCTACAAATAAAAGTGCTGGTACTAGATTAATTGCAGACATTTTAGTTATATGTGTAGAGCTTTATTGTTACTCCTTTTAGCTACCCTGAAAAATGATCCCTAAAGGTGGCCTAGTTGATAAGACTATCTGTTTTATCCTTAATCTGCATTCTTCTTTCATTGTAGAATACAGTATTTGCAACTCATTTTTTCTTGTTTTTATTACAGATACACTTTTTCTTTCTGATCCATTATTGTAGACACTGTACCTTCAAATTGACATTTAAGACCAAACCATCTCTTACGTTATCTTTAATATTACTTTGAATAATGATTGCAATGTTTCTTCCTATGATTCCACATAACATTTAGAATAATGATGTCAATTTTTTACAACTAAATTTATTTCTAGTGCTTATATTTGGCTTTTTGACTCTTTCAAAACAATCAGCCTGCATTTATATAACTTTTATAAATAATAATCTAATTTGGGTCAAGTTAAGATATTAAAAGTTCCTTTCAGCATTGAAACTTTGGCCTAATTTTGGTAAATAATTTTCAATTTCACTAAATCCTAAATAGCTGTGTGACATAGGTTTTTTTTTAATCATCAACTTAGTAAACTTTATTATAAATATGTATAAATCCAAATTTTAGGAAATTGTAAGTAAAGAAGAGATTTTAAAATCCAAAGAAAAGAATGTGTTAAGAATACAGTCATCACTCTGTATCTGTGGGAGATTGATTTCAAGACCTACAATGGATGCCAAAATCCAAGGATGCCTAAGTCCTTGGTATTAAATGGCATAGTATATGCATATAACCTCTGCATATTCTCCCAAATACTTAAAATCATCTCTAGATTACTTATAATACCTAATACAATGTAAATGCTAAATAAATAGTTGTTATACTGTATTGTTTAGGGAATAATGATGAGAAAAAAAGAGTCTGTACATGTTCAGTACAGATGCAATTTCTTTTGTCCAAATGCTTTTGAGCCACAGTTGGTTGAGTTTATGGGTTAGGAACCCACAGATATGGAGGGCCGACTGTACATTATCATTTATAGGAAAAATGTTAAGTATGCACGGGAATGATAAAGATCAAAATCAAGAGTGGGAGGAGGATGCAGTCAGGGTGCAGTACACAGGAGATTTCAACTCTTTTGGTAACATTTTCTTTCTTAAGCTGCATTTTTTTTCTTTTTTTTATGCTTTCTTGGATATCTGATATATATTTTTCTTAAGGCTGGTAAGGGATCAACCATAGTTTTTAATTCTGATGATTTTTTTTTTTTGAAACTGAGTTTTGCTCTTGTCACCCAGGCTGGAGTGCAGTGGCACAATCTCGACTCACTACAGCGTCTGCCTCCTGGGTTCAAGCAGTTCTGTTTCAGCCTCCCGAGTAGCTGGGGTTACAGGCACCCGCCACCATGCCCAGCTAATTTTTGTGTTTTTAGTGGAAACGGGGTTTCACCATGTTGGCCAGGCTGGTCTCAAACTCCTGGCCTCAGGTGATCCACCCACTTCGGCCTCCCAAAGTGCTGGGGTTAGAGGTGTGAGCCACCATGTCCAGCCTGATGATCTATTGTAGGACTCAAATTACTTGATTCTTAGGGTGAACGAAGTTCACCTGTGCACCTATATTGCTGTTAGTTTGTGTGTGGTTTCAAAGAATATGCAAATACTGATCCATAAATGTGAGCTCCTCTGTCAGTTTGAGCCCTTCAAGAAACAGATGACTAGATGGTATTAGACATGCAAGAGATTTATTGGAGGAACTCACTTGTATAGGACAAAGGGGAGGGAGTAGGAGTAGGCAGGGAGAGCCTTCAGACTACCGTAAACCTAACACCTGTGATAAGAGAGGGAAGGAGGATTGGTAGGAGGAATCTCAGACTGTTGATGCAGTCCTACAGAAGGTTGGGCCAGGCTGATGGGGAGTCCTCGAGCCAAAGTTGCCAGCCAGAGGAGTTTGTGTTGCTTGCACTCATACCATCACTGTGCCATCCAAGGCAGGGAGCAGCCCTGGGCCTTGCAGCTAATGTAGTGGTGAATCCAGAGGGATGGCATCTAGGACTGCCAGTCAACTGGGCTTCCTGTTCCACATTTCTAGATCTGCCAACATCCACCTTTTTGCACCACATAGATCTGTCTCTTGCAGGTTTTGGGAGCAACTCCTCCGTGGTTCCATGTACATCTCTCAGAAGGTGGAGGTTGGTGGTGTGATCAGTAGCCCTTTTCCCTGAAGGACCAAAACATACTCATCCTCTTTGTCTTCCACTGCAAATTTTGAGCAGCTTATAATTAATTAAGGGGAAATAATTCCAGGTAGGAAAGCTGTTTCATCATGTAGCAATATGTTAACCTTTACAGGCACTGAGAAGAAGCCTAACAGAAAAGAGCATCCTTCTCTTAAAGCCTTCCCTTGAGTAATCAATTCCAGTTACTTGGGCCAGTTTTCAAGTGATTTACAAAGTTGGTAGAATAGAAGTTTACCTTATTTTATTTTATTTTTTTTACCTTTCCCTTTCACCACTTAACTCTGATCTTTCTCTTTTTCTGCTTTTCTTGCTCATGTTTTGGCTCATCTAAAATCTAATGTACCTTAGCCCAGTTTATATACCACCTAAAAAATGAATGAACCGTAGTATGATGTTTGCCTGGCATCTTGTCAGGGCATTTGGTAATACTGCCTTGAAGTTGTTCCACCTGCTGAGTCACTGGCACTACCTCCTGCTACAACCTGTGGTTTCCATAGTGATGTCTCAGTGACTTTCACACAACAGAACCTGACTGGTTAAAGACCTGAGCTGCTTTCTGTAATTAAAGTCTTACTCATCTAGAAATGGGAGCATGGTTTTGATCATTTTGAAATGCAACTTTACGAGTAAAATCTTATGAAATAAAATGCACAGATATGTTTTAAGGACTGAGGTTGTTAGGGTAGAATCCTGAGAAAGAAAGTAAGGATGGTGGCAACATGAAAGGGTACTAATGGAAATGAAGAAACATAAGTAAATACAAAGGATTTACAGTAGCCCTTCAGGTAAGAAAAGTTACATCAAATGCTTTGTTATTAAGTCTTGCCACTTGGTCACTGTTTTGACCCTTCTCTTTGATGGACCCAGAGAAAACAGGTTGCTATGCAATCTGTTCTTTTATATTCCCCATTCATCATCGTATTTTTAGAGAAAAGGAAAAGACTTAAGGATTATCATGGGCAAGAAGAGTTAATCAGCAAATCAAGACATCTTGTTCTTAGGCAACATTCGTGGTCAGCTTGAATGTTTGAGCAATAAATTCAAAATTGATTGCTACCCAGTGAACATCAGTAATTCATACAGGGCCTTAAAGTCCCATATTAGAAAATACCAAATCAGTAATTAATTCCAGTGACAGGGATTTTGAAACATGGATCAGTGTTTTCTAGTTTTAGGGTATTGTGACACTCCTAATAGTGCTAATGGTGCATACATTTTAAACATTGTTTGCTTTGATTCCCTTAAAGTTATTTAAATAGATTAAGTCAGGGCCAAGAACCTGGATGAATTAATGATTTATTGAATGAGCATTTTTTCATTTAGTCAACATGTATTGAGTCCCAGCTAGGTGCCTTTTTAAGTCAAAGGCAATACCAGCTTGGTGGCCAGATGTTTTCACAAGCATTGAAGCCAGTATCCAGAAATGAGCTCATTATTTTGCTCCAACCCCTAAATTTCATCTCCTGTGTTCCCTGTCTCTGCATGACACACCATCCACAGAGATAACCAAGACACAAACCTGGGTGTAAGGGCACAAGTTTTATTAAATTAATACTAGTAACAATTGCAGCTAATGTTCATCGGACATCTACAACACTGCAAATGCTTTACATGCACTTAATTTAATTTTCCTAAGAACCACAAAAGGAAGGTCCTATTATAATTCATATTTAGTCTCAGTACTGTGCACTGAATCTATAAAAGATTCGAAAAGAGCTCAGTCTCAAAGGAAATAAACATGAAAACAAGTAATTGCAGTACATTATGATGTCTTAGCAGGATACTATAGTAGTGCCCAAGAGGAAAGCCTGACTTCCTGCTGGGGAAAGAAGCCCTTCAGAGGTGAATGGCATTTATCAAACACCATTTGGTTTTGGGGTATTGCATGAGTGAGTAGAAATACAGTAGGGCTGTTTTCAAAATCTATGATCTGTCATTCAGATATGGCACTATTAATGAAAGAAACTTCCAGCAATCTGTATCAGAAATTCATTATCTTAGGTCATATAATACACATTTGTCCCTTGTATACATGGGGGATGGATTCCAGGACCCTACAACCCTGTCCTGCATATACCAAAATCCATACATTCTCAAGTCCCCAAAGTCGGTTCTGTGGAACCCCTGGGTGTGAGAAAGTTGGGCCTTTGTATATGCATGTTTCACATCCCATGAATGCTGTATTTTTTATCTGTTTGAAAAAAAAATTCTGCATAAGTAGAGCTGTGCAGTTCAAATCCACGTCATTTAAGGGTCAACTATAAGATTTGGGCTAATATTCTCCAGAGAGATAAGCAACTTGCGGGATAGAACTTTCATTAGGGTGCTTAAGATTAATGGATCAGAAAGCACAAAATACAGATCTAGGGGGTCTTAGGGCAGAGGATAAGAAAGGGCAAGTATTAGGTAAAAATGAAGGTGGGTGTGAGAAATGCAGGCACGGAGCCAGAGCTGAGTGTGCTGTGCTGCAAATCCTGTGGCTGGATGGGACCATGACAAGATCAGCCAGCAGCGACAGGAAGTAGGCTCACAGCAGGTGTACACACATGCCCGTGCATACCGAAAGGAACAGAGGGCAAGCCAGTAGCAAAATACATACATTGTAATACACATACACACACACACACACACACATTTTTATCCTCTGCTCTTTACCCACCGTAATTCATCCACTCAAGGAGAAAATCAGTTTTATCTGTAGGACCAGCTTTAAAAATAGGCCTAGCTTTAAAAATAGGCCTGGATGATTTTATGATTCCCTCTTCTGCCTTCAGTGAATAAAACATCTTTACTGCAATTGAACACAAAGATTTAAAATACAATGGTTAGTTGAGTAAATAGTTTTCTTGTAGACTGGGGATCATTTTGTTACAGGGAATGATATTTTCCTTAAGGCATTTCAAGCTGTTTGTGAGCAGGAATCTCACACAGAAACCCAAGTACAGGAACCCCAATACAGCTGGGCCAGACATCCAGGACTCTGGAGCTGGACACTAGATAGTCACAAAAATGAGACTTTTTGTGCCTCTATTCTGTGCATTCTCTACTAATTATCTTGTCCTTGCTCACAATTTCTACTCTTCCATAGCTTCAGCTCTTCATGTCCCAAAATGGCTTCCCCAGACTGACTTGACATCACTTTGCAGTTCCAGTGCCCCATCAGTTATCCACTTACCTCTCTGTCTTTCAATTTCAGTTCCTAAGAGAAGAAAACTTAGCTAGAAATGTGTATTTAGGGGAAGGGTCTTTTGTAGCAGTGTTCCATCAGAGGCCCTGGTTAGCAGCTTTCAGATGTCTACCTTTGACAGCTGTCTTAGCTTGGGCTAGAAGTAGGGGGTCTTCAAAATGAGCCATGGGTAGGCAAGCCTATAAAATGCTTAGTACATATCAGTTAATCATCAAAATAAATAGCAATACCAAATCAGTATTTTCACATGGGGAGGGAGGTGAAGAAACTAAGGAGTAAGTAGCACAGGTGGCCTTGAGTCAATAAAGGGCACTGGAAGAGGGGCAAATGTTAACTTTATTTCCACTGCCTGTTTTCCTAGATCCATAATTCTAGGCCTCCTGATATACACCCCAAAAAACAGCTCATAGGCTCAGTCTTGCCTCTGGTGCTACTGAATGAAATAAGTATAGTGAGGGCTTGGAATCCAGTTAAGCTCCCTAGACCCTCCGTGTCTGCCAGGTCTGGGTGTAGACCCCAATTGCCATTTTTTCTCCAAGTGGCTCCACCCTGAGCCCCTATGTTGAGTAGTGTCATGGAACCCTGACTAGCTCCTACCAAATCTGCTTCCTCATGGCTGCCAGCCATGCCTGGCTTATTACTGGCATAATGGACACTTTGGTATATGTCTTTCCTGGTTCCTAAATTGAACTACCACACAGAAACCCTCCCTCTGTGCTCTGGCCAACCACAGATGAACCCCTGAATTCTGCCCAAACTTGCAAAACCACACTGCTGAGAGTACTGCAGGCATTCCTGGTAAATGCAACCCTTAATTGGCCAAGCAAGAGCTGAGGTCTTAGCATGCATTGCACCCGAGAAGAACACAAATTTTGCAGACTTCATAATTATCTCAAAGGGAATTTTATCTTCACTTTGGCAGGGATGAAATAGAAGCTTTATATAGAAGTGTTGCTCTCCAGCTAACACATTCAGGAAGCCTCGCTTTGCATCATTTATGAAGGTGTTTGTTGGGTTTAACACCTTGAACTTCCTTATGAAGAAACTTGTTTCCCTCAAGGACTTACTAATGAAAACATCACACAAAAGTTCCCTTAAACAACTAGAATTGGGAGGAAGATAAGCCCAAATATTGCGTTTGGCATGACAATACATGTTCCTCAAAGCTATTCTCAAAATTTCTAATTTTAATTTTAAAATTCACTTGGATTTACGTGTGTTATTACAGCATATAGAATCCCAAATATAAGAGTTTCAAGCTCGAATATAAGTACTCAGTAATTAGAACAAATATATTTGAGTTTAGTTTCAACTCTATAGGAAAATAGGTCAGGAAATTAATTTGTAAAAAGCAATCTTGTTAATTAGATTTCTTTCCAGGTGAAATATGAAGCTTTGAATAGCATTATCCAATCTGATTTATAATGAATGAATTCACTTTCAGCTGTAACAAAGAAATTTCCTATTTATCCATCTGGGACTTTCAAATCACTATTCATTTTATGAGAAAAAAATGTGAAATATTTTCTAGAGGAAATACATATCTTAAAATACTTTTACTAGCCACGTTTTGCTTAAGTTAGAGTAAATAAGGTAGAAGAAATTAATTGCTCCAAATCTGTTGGTACTCTATAATAATCAATTATGCCTCTAGTAAGTGATTGTAGGGCAAAACACCTCTGAAATTCAGTCATGTCTTATGTCAAATGGGTATATGAAGGTGGGCACACCCACACCTTTAGAGCTGAGGATTTCTAATGAGACAATGCTGTGCCCTAGGCAAGTAGCAATCTTGACAAAGATATCTGCTTCAAGATCTAAGCATCAAAGTCAAGCGTAGGCCTGAGTGGTGTTTGTTATTTGAGTTACCTCCATCAGTGGAGGTAACTCATGGGCAGAGCTCCTTTGCTGCCCTTAAAAACATTTCTGAAATCTTTGGCTGAAATTCTACCCCTTTATTACCATACTACTTTTATAAATTATCATAAGCAGTGTGCATGAACATTTGTCCTTTCCCTGGCTGCACAGCATCTATTTTGATGGAATCTGTACTATGTAATTCTTGGAAATGATGCAGCCAGAGACTGCCTTTCCCCACTCCCTTAGGGACAAAGCCAATTGGGTGTTCCTGCCCAGGATGTTGCATCTGGGGTTAGTGAAGGCAGTGGACAGAGACAGCTTTGAAGTGACAAGGAGATGCATCTAGTTACAGCAGTGGCAGTCATGTCCATTGAGACATCCCAAACAGACCATTCCTGCAGTAGGACCTTGGCCTGATTCCTTCTCCCTAACCTTCCCTGGCCCCTATCAAATTTCTAGCCTTCAAATCCAGCCTTTCTGTCCAATCTTTGAGCCATTCTATACCTTTGCAACAAATTCCTTTTCTACTGAAGTTAGCAAAAGTCAATTTCTGATGCTGTAACCTAGATGTGTATAGTCCTTGGCCAATTAATTAACTAGAAACCTACCTTTTAGAAGTTACATTAGAGAGGGTTCTAATTAATTAGCTTTTCTTAAGTAAATCTTGCCTTCCTGATAATTATTTTTCTTAAAAAAATGATTGGTGGGGAATGCTGCAAAGAAGGTAAAGCCCTGTACTATCTTGATCTGAGTATCTTGCATATGAACTGCTTCTTCTGGTTTGGATAGGAATTTTTTTCCTCCTATTGGGGCTGTACATTTCCTTCTCTCTCTTTTTTTTTCTTGGTAACTATGTCTTGTTCTTCCCAAGACCATTTTTTTTTTTCTCATCTCCTGCCCCTTCCCACATTCCTACCACTGATGCACTAGCTAGCCCCAGTTGGCGAAGGAGGGGGGATTCTGCAGAAAGAAGGAGCACAAAGGAAGGGAAAACTTTAGTCAGCATCTGGGAAGGGGGGAAGGGGCAGGAAGGAAAGCCTGTCACATTTTTATTTTAGTAAATTTCACTATTCTACATTCCATGCCCAATTTCTGCTTTCCACTTCTTAGGATAAAGAAATGAGGAAAAATAGAAGAGGAATGGAAACCTTCTTGTCACAACTTCCTACCCTCAGTCCCTTATTTTCAACTAGACTACAGGGGACTGCATTGTTTATTGTTAACTTCTCAGCACATAAACAGCATCTACCACATGATGTGCTCAATTGAGTTTATTCAATAATTGTGATGGATCTCTTCAGCATGAAGAGGTCCACCAACATTCTTCCCACTGTTATCTCAAGCCGTCAATCCCTGCCTTCTCCAGCTGTCATACAGCCTACCTGCCCCGCAACACAATAGCATTCAGCCTCTGCCACCTGCCCTTGCAACATGTAGAAATTCCTATTCTATTGTCTTTGTCAGTTTTAAAAGAAAAAAGAAAGGAAAAAAAAAAAAAAGAAATTCCTATTCTAATTACATTAAGGCTTAAAATAAGTTCTTGTGAACTGGTTTGGAAATTTATCCACAATTTATATCTTGTTTGTTCATTGGAAAATATAGGGGCCTGGTGTAGTGGCTCATGTCTAATCCCAGAGCTTTGGGAGACCAAGGCCAGAGGATCACTTGAGGCCAGCAGTTTGAGAACACCCTGGGTAGCATAATAAGACCTTGTCTGTACAAAAGAAAATAAAATCCTAGGCGTAGTGGCATGCCTGTAGTCCTAGCTGCTACTCAGGAGGCTCAGGTGGGAGGATTGCTTGAGCCCAGGAGTTTGGGGCTGCAGTGAGTTCTGATCACACCACTGGACTTTAGCCTGGGCGATAGAGTGAGATCCTTTCTCTGAAAAAAAAAATATATGTATATACATAAAATATATATGATATATTAAGATATATAATATATAAAACATTTTATGTATTATATATATATATAATATATATATTTATGTATGCCACGAGTCAAACAGTGGTCTTACAAATAATCTCTCATAAGGTGATTTCAGGTAGGTTGTGAACTGCCTTTCCAGAGGAAGTCAAGTAGAAGAGTACTAATGTCAGCAGTGATGACTTATTAAGTAAAGGAGACTTCAGTTTAAAGTTGATTTGAGTTTTGATGAAGAAAATATTTTTATTTTCTTTATATTTGTATTATATTTATAATTGATTAATATATCAATGTACTAATAACTATTTCCATTCTTCAAATTCTCTATTCTTTAAATTCTGTCTTGAGCAGTAAATCTGCACCAGATAGCCGAAATGAATTTTAGTAAAATGTTTAAGAAGTATATTTGACAGTGCCAAAGAAGCTGTAGGGGACCCCCCAACTTGCAGACTCTGCCAACAACCATCAACATTCTTCCCCTCTGTCATCTCAGGCCATCTATCCCTGACTCTCATCCAGCAGCCATACATATTACCTGCTCTGCAACACAATAGCATTCTTCTACTGGTTCACTTAGTTATTACCCAGACAGTAGACTTATACCTTTGGATGTCCTTGGCTGTCGCTTCATCAAGTCACAAGGTCCTAAACATCTTCTAAACATCTTTCAATATTTCCTCTTCTCTTCATCACCACTGCCAACACCCCAATCTAGCTCACCATCATCTCTCATTCAGACTATAGCAATGGCCCTCTAATCTGTCTTTTTATGCACATTTTGCCCCCTTTTAATTTGTTCTCCACTCTTTAACCAAAGTGATCTTTTTAAAAAGCAAATTTCTCTCACAACTCTCTTCTTAAAAAAATATTTCACTGGCTTGCTATTGCCATTATAATAAAGTCCAAGTTTTTAACCTGCATTATCAAGGCTCTACCCTCTCCATCAACATCTTGGGTTCCATCTCATGCTACACTCCTCCTCTATGTCTGCGGTGGATTTCTCTTAGTTCTTTGATGACGTTTTATTTTCTCCTGCCTTGAGACCTTCCACAAATGTCTCCTCTGCCCTCACGGCTTGTCTCACATTCTTCAGGTCTGCTCAAACATCATTTTCTCAGAGGAAACTCTCCTGACCCCACAGGGCGGGTATGTCTTTGTCACATAATCCCATGGCACTTCTCTGCTAACTGCGAGCCCTAAGAGGACATGGACTATGCCTGTCTTATCCTCATTTGTCTTCTCCAATTCCTGACCTCTCTACTTTGTCACATCCACGAAAACTCCCTCTTTTGCCATGCCCTGAGGAGATATTATGTTATTATTTTCTCATTTCAAATTCCTTTAGAGAAAAATATCCCACATTTAACATCCTACAGCCCTGAGAGTCGTGAGAGAAGTATCTAATCAACCTATTTCAACAATCCATTTCGGAGAGGTGCAATGGTATAGTAATTAACATAGTGGTCCCTCAAGTTAGACCTTGAGTTCAAATCCTGACTTTGCCAGTGACAACAAGTGTGACTCAAGTAGATTGCTCAACCTCTAGTCATGACAGAGTTTCCTCATTTGTAAGACAGTAGAAATACTTACCTTAAAGGGTTGTTAGGATAATTAAATGAATTAATATATGTCAAACGGAACAGCACCTGTATATAATGCATGCTATGCAAGTATTTGCTATTATCATTTTGAACACAGACTCTGGGCCATACAGACTAGCAAAGTTAATTCTATGAGGGTAGGGCTTATGGTGGCCTTGTTTATTTTGGTTTACTCAATGACTAGCACAGTGCCTTGTATTAAATAGTTGTACATTAAATATTTGTAGCAAGAATACAAGAATGAGTGAATGAATGGTCATCATTCATCAAATATCATAAAGGATAATAGCAGAAAAGATACCTAACCCTTATTAAGAAATTTCCGTAAACCTCCTGTCCTTATCTGAAAAATGAGGGAAATAATAGCTTCTTTACAGGACTGTTATGAGATTTCAGTGACAATTAAGTATGTAAACTGCAATACCAGTGCCCAGCACACTAAGCTCAACAATCACGGGCTTTTCTCTCTGCACTCAAAAGTTAGTAGGTCTAACTCTTTTCCTGGGTTCCAACATTTGGTTCTCAGTTTGGCGTCCTTGGATGTCCCCTTTATTATGGCATTTGTGACAAGACGATCTGTCTTCTCAACGTCCTATTGTTGTTATAAAATCTCTGCGAAAGGTCAGCAGCCTCCTCTGCCTTCCATATTAACCAGCACTTTCCCTGTCCAGAAGTTATTCCATCTTACGGATATTGAGAAGATAAATGGAAGTGATTAGAATGTACTTTCCAAACATAAAGCATTGTACTGTAGGAGTTTGTCAAAGGGGATTAATATTACCACATATCTGTAGAAGAACTTTATGAAGACCCTGTGTATCTCTCAATTTTAATGACTAAGATTGTAGATATGATAGAAATCTGTAAATAGCATGGAAAAGCAAATTTATTGAAGTCTAGGACAACTGCATTACCCTGCTGTATACAGTGTGTTCTTTCTTCAGAGGCTGCAATAAATGAAAAAGATGGTTGCCATAGAGATAAACTGTGCCCTTTGGCTAGCTGATTAGAAGACCATTTCAACCTAGTATAAGAGAATATATTTTGCCTGTAAGTGGTATTTACAGATAATTTCTATCACAGTTGTAACCCAAGTTTTTAAAGCTGAAATGTTAAACCTATAAATGTTGAATTCTATAAAGGCTTTTGTTCCTTTGGTAAAATTTATTTTAACATTTATGTGCTTTTTTCCCTTGGAAAATGTGTTTTTAAAGTTCTTCCCCCTAGTATACTCTAAAAATCTTCCTTGAAATCTACTCTGCCACATAGGTGGCTTCATTTACTTTAAAGCTAATATTTTATTTTTTGAATCATTTGTCAGAGGCAATATGGTGTATCACAAAAGCTGCACCAGCACAGGAAATGCTTATGAAACATGGAAAACCCATTTAATAACAACTCATAGTAATCAGTTAGCACAAAGATTTGTGGATGGTAATATTCAGATCCTTATGTAGTCATTTAATCTGTTCTTCAAAATTCAGAAAGTAATTACAAGTACACAGCCGGGAAAATCTGCCAGTTGATGCAAGCATTTGCTGCAGGGAGAAAATTTGTCAAGGTTAAGCTTATTTTGTCTGGTCGGGTAAGATAGGTTCTGTGGATAACAAAGAAGAAGCTGGATTATTTTGTAAATTGAATGAATTTTATGTCATAAATCTGACCACTGTTCCCTGAAATATTGCTGCATAAATCCAGTTTTTAGGTGTGATAACTTAAAAGATTTGTATTCCCCAGGGAAATAATAATTTTCCTGACGTTGGGGATTCAGTCACAACTTTAATTTGCCCGGGCCAACGTTTAGAAAATTGCTTTCTTCTATGCTGGTGGTGACTATGTTTATATCACTTTGCATGTGTGTGTGTGCGTGTATTTAACTGGACATTTAAAAGTAGGGAGAATAGTAGAGAAAGAGTGTCTTACCAAATATCCTGGATTCCAAATTGTGACCCCTTAAAGTTCTAAATTTAGGTGAGTAAATGATCATGTAGCTTGTTTCTCATCTCCCCCAATCCCAACCCGCAGTGTCTTTCTCTTAAATGTAGTAAAACCAAATAGATCAATATACATCAAGATCTTTAGGACCTGAAAAGTAAGGCCACAAATCATTAAGGGGAGAATGTCAGTTTTCTTTTTTCCTGTGATGTAGTGAAACTGAAGCCACTACGTACTTCCTAGGTTGACAGCTGAAATAAAAATCAAAACATTGTTCATGTGCTTGTTTATTAGGCCTAAAATTAGTTATTTTATTTCTTCATCTAAGAATCTCTTTTACATTTGTACAAGGAAAAGTGTGGTAAATAGTGAAAGCTGGCCAGCCTAAAGCCTATTCCCAGCCCTCTTCTCTATCTGCAGTCCTTCACTAGAGAGGCTGAAAATGCTGAATATATTTTTTTCTACTTCCCTTGCACCTAGGGGTGGCTATGTGAACCTGTTCTGGCCAATGTGGCATAAGCAGAAGTCTACTGTGAGGTTTCTTTTTCTAGGAAAGCATTTCTTTCTTAATAAAGGAACAGATGTTGTTGGTACTACCTCTTCTCCCGCCTCTTCTTTATGCCTTAAATGTGAACCTGATACCTTTTACTGTGGTGACCATATTGTGACCATGAGTCCAAAAGAATAAGGTGAAGGATAGTGGAATGAAAAAACAGAAAAGGCCAGCGTCTTTTAGGACATCACTCACCAGGAGATCCAACCTGCTGTCTCCTGTCTTCTAATTATGAGAGACAAATAAATTACTTTCAGCTTAAGCCAGTGTTAGTTTGATTTTCTGAATACTTAACAACCAAGAAAACAGTCTAATGACAAGACTTGTTTTTAAGTTTCAGTCTAAAAACCACCCCCCACTCCAAAGGGTAAGTGAATACTTTCCATTTCATTTCTTATCTATTTTAGGTAAGATTGTTCTATCTGTAATAATCATTATAACTTTTCTTTGATTCAGTAAGTAAGCTGGACATTTTCGAAAGGATGAAAAAGAAGTGATAGTTTGGTATCATGCAAACAGTTCATTATCAAGATGTGCATGTAACACAGCTCAAAAATCATCCTCCAGCTGATAATAACTTTTAACCAGTTTGGAAATGAGGCCGATTACAGACCACAAAGGGGCAGGGTTCAGGTGGCTTATCATATCAATGCATTTTCTTTGGAAGGTAATGAAACTGACTTCTATAAAGCGGAAAGCATGTCCTCTCTGTAAGGATTCTTAGTTCTTCTACCTCAATTTTGTACTGAATAGATACAAAACAGAACTCG